ATATCAGACACTTAGGTGCAAGATTATGCCAAAATTCCATGTTTTCCGTCCCATTTTTGCTCATATCTCGGAGGCAAAATGAGCAAGAACGCTCACTTGTACATCATTTTAGACAGAAATAAATGGCCTTTTTAGAAAGTATACCATAGATGGGGAAATGTTGGCAGTTTTCTCAAAAAAGGCTTGAATTCAAGAAGTTTTATCGGCATCGTTGGATAGAGAATTGAACGGGGAGGGGTCACGACCCCCATGACCCCCCCCCCTGGATCCGCCCTTGATCATGAATATTTCCAACCCGGTGATTTTGGTCGATGTTTTTCAGGTTTTGCAAACGTTCAGGGTGTTTCACTTTTCACATGGTAAAGACGCTTTGATGAGTCCAACCGCATTTTCATACTTTTTACTGCATTATATAGGCCTCATCGGATAACGAGTTATGCGTCGTTTATTAGAGCTTTACGAGACTTTTCTTTGACTTTTTAAGCAATGTTTCACGCCCGGAAATCGCGCGCAAACTATTCCCCCAGTATTCTGCCATCCTTCCAACAGTCTTTTACCTTCACCCATTTGGCGCCCGAGCAGGCCTTTTAACCCGTGGGTGAGACCACATGAGATTAGGGCAACACCCTGAAACTGACTTGACCTGGAGGTTTTTAAGTTTTTTCTAATGCTTAAAAGCCTCCAGGGTTTTTAAGCATTAGATGATCGATCAGTCCCTCCATCCGTCCCGTTCCCATCAGCCTCCTGCCCAAAACAGTGTGATCGTTGCCACATGTGCTGTCTTGTGTCCGCCAGATCAACGGTGTTTGTGCGGCGAGCAGCACGCCCCCCATCCAAATGGGCGGCAGCCAGCCGCCCATCGCCACCTCGGTCACGTCGTGCCGCCCCCGGCCTGAGCCGCCTCGACGCAGCCGAAGTCAAGGTACCCGAAAGCTTCACAAATGCTTGTCGACGGCATCCTATTCGGAGGACCAATCGTATTATTCGGGGGTGGGCATAATGCCGCCCCTCGGCGCCGCTCAAGGGCTGGCGGTGCCGGCGCCCGACCGCCTCACCAAGCAGCAGTTGATGGTGGCGCGACAGTATTGCAGTTTTGGTAGTACACAAAGTCACCACATTTTCGAATAGTGGTGGGATCAAAGTAACTATTCGTTACTCGAGGGCTCGTTACTCATCCGGATCAATGAATACCGAACCAAACTGCAATCGATTCAAGCTACTCATCTCTACGTAAGGCCCATTTTCATCAGAAACAAGCGAAACGCAGTTTGACGAAACTAACCGCCGTATGCACCGCCAAGCTACCTAATCGTGATCAACTAAACGCGTTTAAAAGTTAATCCGGTTTAAGAACCCAGCTGGTGCACCGTTGAAATTTAGCGGCGGATTAGTTAAACCTTGTACGGATATGGCAACCGTGTTCTAGTGACTCGCGTTATCAACTTTCAACTTTCGCCCGGTGTTCCAATCAGAGATGCCAAGTCTACCGATTTGTCAAGGAACCTACCGATACTATGCAGATTTCTACCGAAGAGTAACAAATAAAATTTAAAAAATTATCCGTGGATTACTTAAAATAATATAACATATGTCCATTCATGATCAATTGGTTGGTTGGTAATAGCAGACATTTTATTTTAGCACACCTCGTATTTTAGAGTTCCTTTTCAAACATAAAATGAATCAAGCTCGCCATATAGATCATAAATATGATAAAATTATGTTTTATGGATCCTGCAATAGTGAAATCAGGTTCCCCACAATCGATTTCTGATGTTGCAATAATATTTCCAAATTTAGTAAATGATAGTGAATTACAAGGTCTGAACACAGAATGACGTCTGTTGCGAAATGTTGAAGAAATTTAAAAAAATTCTGGAAATATTTTAGAGTTTTGGAGTCAAGTACAAACATTGAAATATGGAGCTGGTACATTCGTGTTTCCAATTTTATTTGTAACCTACTTATTCTACCTCACTCATCAGCCAAGTTGAACGGATATTTTCA